CGTTGCCTGAATCACTTGGAAGAAAAATACTTTTTATCCATTTTGATCATTTTTTGGTTGTTTACCCATACATCGAGCAATACTTGGCAAAACTTCACCTTGAATAGGACCTTAAAAAAGATTTTTATATTTTATTCTTTTGTGAAATTGAAATTTTGTTTTACCGTAAGGAACTTTTTCTCCATCAATCATCATATTTCCATTTGTTCCCGATGGTACTATTCGAAATGCACGTATTGGCATCCATTCAATAAAATCATAATTTAAATGTTTTCCATCGGATAATTTTGTAAATGCTTTAGCTAAGTTTAAACGTGTTGAACCACCAATACGCATAAATTGTAATGTTAAATAACCGTCAGCTAATGTTGATTGTGGAGTTGATATAGAATCTTTTGATATAGCAGCTTTTGATGTAATAAGTACATGAGCAAATGGACCATCAATACGGCGCCATTTACTTGTCGTTGAATCAGTTGGTATAGGTTCATTGAGCGGTAAAAGATGTTGATGAAGTTTAGTCGTTGTTGTATCTGATGTAATCTGATTTGTTTGACCGGTATCATCAGTTGCATCATAAGGGATATAATCGATATAACCATTATAAACACGAGGTCCTAATATATAAATAATATGAAAATGATTTTTCTATTTTTTCTGTTATATATTCAATCAAAAGAGAAAAAAAATCATTAATTAGTAATCAAAAAAATAAGTTTTATAAAATATAACATTTCAATTATACATCTTCAACTTGAATTATCTTGTAATATTTTAAAATGTATGATAGATAGTGTCAAATGTGAACTTTTTCACTTGATATAATAGTAAAAGAAAAGATAAATATGAAATTCTTACTCTCTTATAGAATAGTAGTCCACTGAACTTCTAGTCTGTTTCGCGAGGCAAACATTTGAAGATAAGCGTTTATTACGATCAACTTTTGTTTTTTTTGTGTTGTAACTATATTTTTATTCGCTTACAAGTACAGAAGTACACAAGGTTTGATAAATTGAAGTTTTCAAGGTGTCTAAGAACTTTGATAAGAACTATCATAGTTACTGATGAAAGAAAAGATTATCTTCATTACTTCTCCAGCTTTATCTTATCAGATAACTTGAATTATGTATTCATTACATTATGTTGGTCATTCACACATTTATCTGTCATCGACACTTCATGGATCATAATATAGATATGTTAAACTTAGAGATCTGCGGGACAAACTTTTCTATGTCCCGAATCCCGTTTGTCCCGTCCCGAATTTTTTTAAATAGTCCCGAATCCCGTTTGTCCTGTCCCGAATTTTTTCGAATTATCCCGAAAAATCCCGTTTGTCCCGTAAACGGAAAAAAAATAAAGATGTGGTTTTGTTCAATAGCAGTACGTGCCTTCTATATACGCTCAATCGAAACAATTTATTCATATCTATGATTATGAGATGATTTATGAATTTCTAATAAGTATTATTGACTATACAATGTCGATCAGAAAAAACGTTCAGATACGGATAAAATTAAAAGTTTGCTATAGGTCGAGCGAAATATCCGAACTTCGAATATTAAAAAGTATTTATCTGCCTGTAGCGAAGTTTAGAAAAATAGATTAATATAAAGTACAACTGTAATTGTAATACACTCTTGCTCTCATCCATA